TACAGGCCCAATATCAGTACCCTGGGCCTTTTGGTTATTGAGAAGAAGTTGTTTGAAGATTTTAACATATTTGACCCCTGTGACCTTGAAAGTGGGTCAAGGTCATTTATTTGAACAAACTTTGTAGCCCTTCATGCCAGCATGCTACAGGCCTAATATCAGTACCCTGGGCCTTTTGGTTATTGAGAAGAAGTTGTTGAAAGTAAAAAGTTGACGCCGGACAGACGGACGACGGACGACGGACGGACGACGGACTCCGCACCATAACATAAGCTCACTTGCCCTTCGGGCAGGTGAGCTAACAATAAAACTAAACCCAGACTGGAACATAATGAGCAAAAGTAGAGCCAGTATCTGTACAATCTTGAAGATTAACCTATTGAAATCAGAAGATACCAATGAAGTAACCATTGTGAACACTTTCAATTGATTTCATGGTAATTGAATTGGTATTTAATGAGATTTCAATGACCAATAAGAGTGACCAATGTTTCTTTATTTAGCCATTCTTAATACCTAGTTGACATAATAAATGTTACCATATACATGTACTTTGCATGAGAGGTCAACATGAGTAACCAGTGATTCTTCTAGTGATTTAACTGACAAATATACCCTTGAATCATTGTTTATATGACAGCTTGGTATAAGTATCCTAATTAAACAGTCCAGGTGTATCCATACTTACTATGAGAGGTAGGTGTAGGGGAGCCTGCTCTGGAGGTGGCCTGAGAGGTCCCACGAGATCTCATACCCAAAGATAATCGTTCTTTCTCTTCCATTATTTTACCAGACATCTCCTGCAACACAATAAATGTATGTTAGGCGTTCGCAATTCCTGGGTAGTGTTTATAGCAATTAAATACACATCAATCATGTGTTCTTCATGGCATTCATTGTGTTACATTTTATTAGATATTTCTGGAGTACTGCCTTTTGTTTACAAGTGAAACAATATGTGGCTTTTCCTTGTATATATCTGACCATTGTTGACAAACTTTATATTACACAAGAGGCCCATGGGCCTTAACGGTCACCTGTTATATTTATACAGAGAGTTAATTTTGTTTTTAACATGAACAGAAACATTATTCAAAGTGACAAAAAACAATAAAACCACCTTATTCAATATCTAGCATACACATTTCAGACTAAAAAGTATTTGAAACTAGCACCTCTGATTCTAAACAAGGAAAATGAAGAAATTTTAGCACACTGACTCCTTTGAGCCCCACCTTACATCCCTTGGGGGTAGGGCTGGCTCAAAACTGTCAACTCTAGGTTATAATTCCAATCAAGTTATTAACATGTAATATTCAAAGTATCATTTGCCATTATAAACCATAATAAATTTTGCCCCCCCCCCTCCTTCCCCAGGGGGGAAATGTGAGACCCTAGGGTCATAAACCTTAAGACCCTTCCATCAATGAAGAGTATTTGATTCTACCATATCTGGGTCTTGAGAAAAAGAATTTTGAAATTTCAGTCAATTCAACCCTTTTTTGCCCCACCCATCGGCCCCTGGGGGTCAGTCAGGGCTCATATGTGCATACTATCAAACTGCTCCCTAATACTGATAATACTAACCCAAATTGAATTACTTCTAATGGAAAATTAAACAAATGTTGGTCAAAAATGTGATTTCCCTATATAAACTATAGTAAAGTTTACCCCCTCACCAGGGGGAAACGTGAGACCCCAGGGTCATGAAATTCACAATTTAGGTAAAGCACCTTAAGACCCTTCCATCAATGAAGAGTATTTGATTCTACCATATCTGGGTCTTGAGAAAAAGAATTTTGAAATTTCAGTCAATTCAACCCTTTTTTGCCCCACCCATCAGCCCCTGGGGGTGAGGCAGGGCTCATATGTGCATACTATCAAACTGCTCCCTAATACTGATAATGCTAACCCAAATTGAGTTACTTCCAATGGAAATTAAACAAATGTTGGTCCAAAATGTGATTTCCCTATATAACTATAGTAAAGTTTACCCCCTCACCAGGGGGAAACGTGAGACCCTAGGGTCATAAACCTTAAGACCCTTCCATCTATGAAGAGTATTTGATTCTACCATATGTTGGTCTTGAGAAGAAGATTTTTGAAATTTTAGTCAATTTGACCCTTTTTGGCCCTGCCCCTAAGGCCCCTGGGCCCCCTACGAAACGTATTGTCACAAACCATGTATTGTGATACGCATTGTATCCCCACAACCCTTATATCGTGATACGTATCATGACCCAGTGTATCGGGATACGTATCGTATCGTCACAACCATTGTAATGTGATATGTATCGTCACAACCCTTGTATCATGATACGTATCGTATCGTCACAACCCTTGCGATACACGCCTATTTGGTTACAGAGTTTATAATTTTATCTTTCCATTTGCTCTGCATTGCCACTATATAACCTTACCAAACAAAATAGAAAGATATCAGATCATAATTCTCACATAATTCCTAATGGTGTAGTGATATGAAGAACATGTTTGTGACGTCATGACTAAATGACGTCGTTTTGACCGATGTCATTATAAAAAGTGTATTATTGATGTCACGAAAAATTGTCACAATACACATTCCTCGTAGCAACCTATCCGTGCTATCGGATTAAAAAACCCAATTGATCTATGTTAAACTCGCAAAAATTTATGTAATATAAAAGGTGAATATCCTCACGGTGGAATATATTGATTAAGTTGTTGAAATTAAATTGATGATTTTGTGTTTATTTCCACAAACTATATTATTTTGCCAGGAACGGTCGCATGTACTCGTGACGTCACAAGAACAGGACCCATTGACAGACAGCGCAAAATTTGACTTTGAAATGTGAAAACAGGTTGGAAATTAAAAATGGAAATATAAGTATTAAACTACCTTCTTTGGAAAGTAATTGTCCTATGATTATCAAAGGATTGCAGACAAATTAATCAATTTATTTGCAATCCTGTGAGAATTATAGGACAATTACTTTCCAAAGAAGGCAGTTTAATGCTTAAATATAATATTTAAAAGTCATTTTTATTACTCATGCTTTTTCCATATTCAACAAGAGATCTATATCTGTATCTGTACATTGTAGTACCCGGTAGATCTA